GTATATATATATATATATATAAATGTTTACAATAAAGTTATACATATATTATATATACATATATCTAAAGGTTATAAACTCTATATAACTATTGAAAATACTTGTATATATAAAACTATTACCCAAATGTTTACAAAATTAAAATTTAATACTTGATATGTTGTGTACAAATGTCAAGTTTGTAGACTAATTGTAATAATACTATACATATATATATATCTAAATAATCATTGCCATCATTATTGATAAATTAAATATAAATATACAAAAAAAAAATATATTAAGTCAAAAAATATTTTACTCTAAAATTACACAAACATATTATATATCGATATATATATAAATAAATTATATATATATATAAACAATAATAAGTTTATAGTTTAACAATTTAATTCAATAACATTTTATTTTAATAGATTTAATAGATTAGTATATTTTTAAAAATACTAATCTATTAATAGTACAAAAAATTAGTTTTAAAAAAAAATTATTAAATTATTAATAATAATAAATAATATTTTTGTCTGAAAAAAACATATTTTTCAATTTATTATAAACTTTGTATTTTAGTGTATAAATACAATTAGTAGTAAACAATTTAATTTATTATTTTTTTTAAAAAAATTGATATATATATGGTCTCAAAATATTTTTCAAAAAAAAACTTGCATTTATTACATATTATTATTATTGCATTTAATTAAAAATTTTAGTATTTACTAGTATTTATTAGTCCATTAAGTTTATTATCAGAAAATAATAATAATAATAATCAGTTTTTATTAATAATTCATATGAAATATGATTGCTTTATCATTTTTTTTTGAAAATTTAAAAATAATTTTTTTATTACTAATATTTTTTTTTCAATTGAAATAATAATTTATTGATAAATTTGATTTGATTTGACAATATCTATACTATCTATACATGTTCAGAGATCATGTAATATACTAATAATAATAATAATAATAATAATATATTTATTGAAAATAAACCATAATTAATAGATCTAACAATATATATATATATATATATATTATAATATTGTACATAAAAAATGCATACAACTCTAGTGTTTATATATCTATTTAAATTTTTTATTAAAAAAATTAATTAATGATATATCAAATATATACTGCAATTTTTTTTCTAATAACTAATAATTATTGGCAATCAATTTATTAAAATTTATATTAATTAATTTTCATTGTGTGTGTGTGTGTGTGTGTTAGTTGCCAATACACATACATATATTGCATATATATATATATATATATATATATACTGTATCTACAGTATAGTGTAAATGAATTTAATGAGAGAGATATATAGTTTTTTTAGATATGTTTTTTTCCTTATATTAACTCTTATCAGTGCAAAAACTTAGTGATGAGAGAGAGAGAGAGAGAGAGAGAGAGAGAGAGAGAGAGAGAGAGAGAGAGAGTACTCAATGTTGTATACAAAAAAAAACATACTCACATTTTTTTGCTAGTATTATACATATGATATATCAATATATTGATATATAATATAAAGACCATCCATTGAACTAAATATATATATATATATAATCTCTAACCACACGTTTGATATGTGGCCTCAAAATTATATATATATATATATGATATATATATATTAAAAAAAAGTGAAAAAGCGATATGTGTTTTGTGAACCCCTACTACTACTACTACTACTACTATATTGACAACAAACAAACAACAACAACATAATACCGGTAATAACCAAACCAATCAACCCATTGGACTCCCTGTCCTCAGTATACAGACATACTATATACAGTATAGGAAAACTTATGGTCATTACGATAGACAGAGACAGAGAGAGAGAGAGAGCCATAAAAAACTGTTGTAACAAAACTTTTTTTCACCCCAAAAAAAATACCTATAAATCAGTCAATTATCTCTAAATACTGGTATATGTTATTAAACGTATCATCAATTTGTGTTTTTTTTGGCACCCAATCGATTGGTTAAACAACAAAAAAATCATAAATTACTGGATTTTTTTTAGTATAGTATTGAAAACTCGTGATTTCACACCAAAAAAAATAATTTTTGTTAAAAACCATATGAACTCTGATATACTATATATTGATATATATATACTGTAGTATATGACTAACCGATAACTATAGATAACTTTAACTGAATAGTAATAGATTTTTTAAATTAAAAAAAATAATATTAATATATATACCGAGATATGTACCCAAAAAAAAAATTGGTTTTTTGATATATAATTAAATTGAATTTATCATTAAAACATATTTTTTTATTTGTCAATTAAATACTGGTATATAAAAAAAACATAAAACATTTGAGACAAACAATAAAATCCTTTCATAATATTTTTATTTAAAAATAATAATAATATCCTTAAAATTAGAAATTATTATCAATAAAAAAATTAATAATAAATTTTTATTATATATTTACTGGTATACCAAAAAATAATAATAATTAGTTATTAATTGATTGATTTAACACAAATGTATTCACCAAAAATATAATTTTTTTTCAAAAATGTTAAAAAATTAATTTAAGCAATTTGTTTGGTTACTAAATAATTTTTTTTCTAGAAAAAATTTTTCAATTTTTAATTGAACATTGAAGTTTGGTACAATTAATTAATTAATAAAAAAATAAAATAAAATTCATATCAATTCAATTGAAAAATTAAGTACACATATAATAATAATATCTTATATGACAGTGTATATCATCTCTAGTATAATGTATAATATAATTTGAAGGCACCGACACCATCATCATCACCACCACAACAACATCAGCAGCACATATACCCCATATATAAGTTATATATAATAGGGAACTATAGATAGTTGAACAGTCAGTTACCACTAAATTGTTTAACTGATTTGTGATTAAGATATATATATATATTTGCGATGAATAAGTTATATATATATATATATAACTTATTTATCGCAAATATATCGCATATATATATAAGTTTATAGTGGTTTACAGTTACACTAGTATTTTATTTAGTATTAATAATAATAATACTAAAAAAAAATTATGGGACACTCCAAGGCTGTCATGAATTTTTTTTATATTTATTTTTTGATTTTTTAAAAAGTTTTGACTCTCAAAGACACTGTTTGTTTGTTTGGTTGTTAAATACCAGTCAGAAAAAATAGGAAATAATTTTTTTTTAAAATATATATATAACTTAAAAAACTTTTTTTTTTATTTTAATTAATATTATTCATAGCAATCATCAGTTGACTAATTTGCCAAAAAATATATATATATTATATATATTCAATACATTGATATTTTACTCGATATCAATATCATTGATTAAATGCCAGTTAACTAATATATATATATATATATATATATATATATATATTAATTAGAAATCTATAAAAAAAAACATTATATATAAAAAAAATAATAAAATTTTATTAATTAATTAAATACTAGTTTTTTTTTATATCAATAACCAATTAGTATAATAATTGCACACAAAATAAAAATTTGTTTTTCAAATAAATTATAGACAAATAATAATAATAATAATTGTATGAATGACCAGCAAATAATAATAAAAAATTGAATAAAAATGTTTATTTATAAAAATTAATTATCTTTAAAAAAAAATTTTAGTTAAAAATTCATTTACATTACTACTAAATTAATATTAAATAGTTTATTATTATTATTATTATTATTATTATTATGACTATACCAGATAGCGAGCCTACGATTATCTTATATTTATTAATATATATATATATATACTGTATATATATATATATATATATATATGAAAATCAAATGTTAACGACAACGTTGTCTAAAAACTGTTTAATAATAAGGTTTTTGACTTTTAATATATAAATTAATTTATATATAAATTATTTTTTTAATAACCCTTTCCTAAAACTTGTGATGTTATCATATATTTGATATCAATGATACAAAAAATATATATATATAATAAGTTTAGATATTTTTTTTAAAAATTTTTTTTGGTGACTTTAACCTAACGGTTCCCGTCCTCCATGTGTTTTACAAACAACCAAAAAAAAAACAGTTCAAACAAACAAAACGATTGTCTAATAATAATATAAATAAATTTCTAATTAATAGCTAATTTATTTGTTATATATATATCTATAATATAATATTATTATTGTCAGCTCCGGGTTATTATAATATTTCAATAATATTTTTTTTAGGTCCGGTTATATTATATCGGGTATATAACTTTATATATATATATATAATATTAGATTATATTGATTTTTATAATCAATAGTTATTTTAGGTAGTATCAAATTGTTTTTACTGTACAAATTACTCTACAGTTTATTATTATTACAGTAATATTATTATTACATATTTAATAAATAAATATAAATATGTAATCAATTTTTTAAACAATTTTCATAATTAAACTATCCATAGATAAAAAATTTTTTAAAAAAAAATATCAACAAAAAAAACATTTAATTAATTAATTTATTTATTCATTAATATTATAAATTTATAATAATAATTAAAAAATAATATATATATATAAGTAATAATAATAATAATAATAATTAAATACATTGGACACAATACATATATTTATATTATAATATATATATAATATATATAGAGAGAGATACATACAGGCAATCATATTAAAATGTACATTTAATTAAGATACATTTAATTTAAAATCATTTATCAATTAATAATAATAATTATTATTATAAGGCCTTATACATATAATATATAATTTTTTTACTTTAAATATAGGACAGGGAGATCCAGGTATGTATTGGTAGCTGTGTGTGTGTATGTGTGTGTGTGTGTGTGTGTGTAAAATGCATTTATGATAATTTAATTAATTTATATTATATAATATATAATTATTACTAATAATAATAATAATAAATTTTTATATATAACATGTATGTAATGATAGATTTTTTTTTGGTATTTTTTTGTGGGATATATACTGTATATATAACTATCTATTCATTTCTATTGGCTATAATAGTTTGTGGTCATCGGCGGCATTACCGTTGGCCAGGGGTCGTGATGTTGTTGTTGTAGTTGAGAAACGGGCGATACTGAGGAACTGTAGGATGTTTTGGCTGCTGTTGTATTATTATTATTAGTAGTAGTATTATAGCTATCAGTTGGACTAAACTTGTATTCAGGGGTAGTATTCAGATAGCTATTGGCATTTGATAGTAACAGTGCTGTACTGCCCGAACCGCTACCGGTCGGTGACGGCGTATAGTAGGATGTAATAGATGTGGTGGCACCAACTGAACCGCTGGCCGACAACGGCGGTACAATACAGGTACCGGTAGCACCCGATACTACCAACTGGTCGGGCGAGTAGACACCACCACCACCGCCACTGCAGGGCGACGTCGGCGACGGGTTATAGTAGGCGGGCGGCGACGATGACGAAGTATTGTGGTGTTGGTGTTGCTGCTGATGGTGGTGTTGGTTGTGGTGGTGGTGGTGGACAACGCTGGTGGGCGTCGACTGATGTTGGCCTACAATACACGACTGGCCACCGGCCATAGATTCGGTAGTATATATGGTTGTGGGACTATTGTTGCTATGATAATAGGGCGATGTTGTGATACACATACTGGTCATACCGTCGGTAAGATAGCCGCCGCCGATGCCATCTGATGTATGTCCGCCGATCGGTGGACTCGAGTTATTGTTGTTGTTTGCATGGCTGCCGCTGCTGTTGGCAAACGCCGATAAGGCTGCCGATGTTAGCGACGGTATACCAGTGCCCGAAACAGTATCGTACGTATAGGTTGGCGGCGGTAACGGATAGACAAAAGCCGACGGCCCGCCCGGCCCGCCCGAACTGTACGATTTGATTTGCGACTGGCGTTTCAATCGGAAACCGCGGGGCCGGCGCCTGAAACTGCCCTCCTCGAACATATACTCGCACGACGGGTCGATTGTCCAGTAGTGACCTTTACCCGGCCGGCCGATACCTTTTTGTAGTTTAATAAAACATTCATTCAGCGACAGATTATGGCGTACGGAGTTTTTCCAGCCCTGGTATGTCCCACGAAAAAACGGAAACTTTGTCTGCAAATACTGATAGATCTCCGATAGGGTCAACCGTTTCGACGGCGACTGCTGTATGGCCATCACTATCAGGGCTATGTAGGAAAATGGCGGTTTTTCCGTACGGCGGACACCCGAACCCGACTTTTTCGTAGTCGACACTGTTTCGTCGGCCACTTCCATACCGACACCGCCGCCGCCGCCACCGCCCCCTCCGACACCAGTACTACCCAATGATCGTTGGTTTTCCAGTTTGATATTATCGCACATTTTAATTATTATTATTATTATTATTATTAAAAAACAAATTAACTAAATAAATTTGTTGTTCACAAATTTTAAACGTTTATATATATATATTAAAAAAC